GGCATTCGCCAGGCTGACGGAGCTGACCCTCTCGTCTGTATTGCACTGGTACCCCTCCCGTCATCGTGCTGTGCGCGCTGGTCCTCCGCCGGGTCCACTCGGACGCTCTGGGAGCTCGTCAACCTGAACAACTTGGACCGTCCAGTGAAAATGGATGTGGCAGCTGTCAACCTGCGGTCGCTAGTTGAACCAGTTCAATTCAGACATCTTGGACCAAGCAAACAATTACGAAGATGTGTAGAGTTATATGAGAGGTCAAACTTTAAGCGTTTGCAGAGCTAAACACTGCACATAATGGTGCGCCAAGAAACAACGCACATCCCAGTATATACAGATTACAGAACTTAGACCGTTCAAACACATGATAAATCAATGATAAACATTGGAGAGTTGAACATCATGGCAAAGGCTGCATGCAAGGCTCCACCACATCTAGCTGAACTGTAGAGGGAACTTTCCCCCTGATGTATCTTTCGATTACCAAGGCTGCTTTATGGGCTTCCATGGGTCCGATAGAGCAGGAGCATTTAGCAGATCGATCATCAGAACACCTGAAACTATCATTGGTGGTGCTCAATGTAAGGCACTCGAGTGATGCTGAATTTTCCAGAATATGGGACGTCAACTCAACCACGCTCTTTGAACTGGGGAACCTACAGATGCTCACTCTCCGGAGCTTGTCATGGCGGTATCCTGGAATCTGCCTCAGATGTGAGGGGTCTTCAGAAAGCAATTCATCTATGGATTGTAGTAGCTGTATCGGTACCTGGAGATAGAAATATTGGTTTAAATACTTGAACTAATGATTTGGCCACCGAAACTTGTTATATTTTTGTAGAATGAGTGCATCAAAATATACATTTGCATGGTGAACAGTGACTTACGCGCAGTTTGAATGTCTCCAAGGACGGAGCAGCACCAAGAAAATAAACCAGAGAAAGACAATCGCAAGACCCATTAATATAAATGCTCAAGTATTTCAGATAGAGGAACTTGGAAGGCGAGAGCGTCAGTGTTGTATTGACCACCTGCATAAAGATACCACATGTTAATAACATTCCAAAGTATCACTACTGCTCTGTGCATAATAATCACAATAGGTTTTGGAATATACCTCACACCATGAATGTATGCTAAGAGTTTCAAGATTCGGCACAATGGACGGAAGCTCATCAAGTGCATATCTGAGGAAGAGGTAACATAGCACATCTAGTTTCTTCAATCGCAATGACTCCCCAAGTAAGAACTCAACTCGGTCACCTATAAAGTGAAAACTATTAATATTTGGAGCTTTGTTCTCTATCGTCTGCAGTCTGTGGCATTCTAACACCTGCAGGTAGCTGAGTCGCTGCAGCCGGGAAGGTATCTTTAGGAAAGTTATCTGGTAGCATCTCCTGAGTTTCAACTGCTCCAACACAACACAGCTGGGAAGAAGGCACCCTAACTCGCACCCCGTAATTCGCACAGACTCAAGATGCAACACTGTCAGGTTTCCCAAGCACCCAAGGCTAACTGTAGGATGGAAGACACAGTTAACAAGGTGAAGATACCAGATCGAGCTTCCATTCCCATTGGATAGAACTGGGCATGGGAAGTAGACTGCCTCCTTCTCACGCATCACAAGGGTGAGTTTTTCAATGCCCGGTGTAACCACTTTCTGAAGCCACCTATGGAGATATTCATAGGCTTCATAAGCCTTGAGCTTGTCGCAACAGGAGCAATCAATCTCGAATGTCTTCACGCCAATGCCTGAGTGCTGTTCCAAAATCTGATCAACTTTGTGGGTGAAATACATGTCATCCCGTGATAGGCCTATTGTTTGACTATTAAATATGAGGTTGGGGTAGTAGCATCTCCACGAACGTCGAAAGGCACGAGACACGCAGGCAGCACGGGCAGCATCTCGCGGCGTCATTAGTGAATGTATATGACACCAAATGTCCTGCACGCACAACAATGGGAGAAGAGTTAACACATTAGAATTGTAAAATCAAATGTTTACCCTCATCAGCACTAGTAATGCAGCTGGGCTGCAGGAGATTGCAGCAGAAAAAGAGGTTAAATTCAGTTAGCTACCAATAGGTTATAACCCAATTTGTGCAGCATATGTCTATTATCCAAAGGAATCCATGATGTACCTCTGGAAGTACGGTCCCTGAATACTCCCTTATTTTGCCATCATGATAATTATCATCATCTTCTTGGCAAGGTGGCCCGTTTCTTATGGCCAATGAAGAAGTCGACCCATCTGCAACAGAAAATTGTTATGGTAATAATAATAATAAGTAAGTAAGTATATAAAGGCAATATTGGTGTTGTTCCTCATCTGTAGTGCCTTCGCCCTAAATTCCAAACCAACGCACATATATGTATATATATTTTTAATAACAAATGTGATCTTTGGGGGCTAAAAAAGATGCAACCTGGAGAACCCCTTTAAAAAGTGAGCCTTTTATTCCAGCTTATACATACATACATCGATCTAGAAGGACACCAATTCACAACTATATATATAGGATAAGAGTCAGTTTACCACGGATCTGGATTTGGCGTTCCTGCTGCATGAGATCCAGCTGCCCCATGGCACCACTGATATGAGCAATCAAGGGCACCAAAAGGAGTCAAGCTCTGCTGTTTTTCCTTCTCCCCGTCGATCTCTCTATCTATCTCTGCTGACGCGGATATCGCGCTGACCTTCGCCCTGGGGAGAGGAATCCTTCCCAGGGGCAGTGGGGACGAAGAACGATTTTCTGTCGCTAGGCTATATAAGAAAAAGTAACTGGGCCAAAAAAGCCCAGATTGCAGGCTTTTTTGTTATTGTTGTTGTTGCAAAGACCATGTAGAGGAATTTTTTTTGCCATGATGAATAGTATGTATACGACTATTAATTTCAGAAAGAAGAAAACGTGAGGGGACAAATCGGGCACAAAATTGACACGATATATAACAAGAAAAATGCCACATGGCTACAAGGAAAACTTCGTCATGGCTAAAAAACAAAGCAAAATCGTGTTTTTTTTTTATCTCTAATGCGCATGGAATATCTTTGAAAACGGGCCTAATATTTGTGGCAATGTATTTTTCTGTGTGCATGATTTTGCTGGCAAAACCAGGTAGTGGACCAAGGCAAATCCATATTTTTCTGTTATGCTTTTTATGCATAGGCTAATTCACCTTTTTTAAAAGGATTTTATTCTTTCACAAAAAAAGGATTGCAAAATTACAAAGAATGCAATTGCTCTTTTATAAATAGGTGGAAATTTTGTATTTTCCACGGGAGGATGACAAAAATGGGGAAGTTGTTCTCTTAAAAAATATGGTACCATTCAAATAAATTAATATTTTTCCATGTGCACATGACAGATTTATAAACTATGTGGTCTAAATAATAAAAGTACCATGGTCTAATTAATGGATTTGTCGTGGTCTACGAGAATTTCCTGTGGGTCCGGGTAAAAACTAATTTTTCCATGCTATGAAAATAAAGTTGCCATTTCTATGAAAATAAAAATTTCCATGGTCTAGGAAATAAATTTAAATGGTCCGGTAAGAAATTAAGATGCCATGCTATGAAAATAAAGTTGCCATATATTTGAAAAATAAAATTGCCATGGTCTAGGAAATAACTTTAACATGGTCCAGTATGAAAGTAAGATGTCATGGCTGCCATGTATTTGAAAGTAAAATTGTCATGCTCTAGCAATGAGAAATTGGCACGGTATATGAAAAGAAAAAAAATCTCTAATTCAAGGGAAAATGTAGAAAAATTTATGTCATGGCAAATCTAGAATTTTTGTTCCCTGATGGAAAACTTCATATTCTTTTTACTTTTTATTTCTAAAAAAAGCATGTCAAAAAATATTCTAACAACATTTCTGAGAATGCTCACATGGTGATTTTCAAGAATTGTCTTGGCAAAAACTCATGTTCGGAAATTTCCATTTAAAAAAATAAGATAAAAATTAATACAAAATTATGAACAAAATTGTCATGACATATGCATATTAAAATTGCCATGTTTGTTATAAAATTTTCCATCTATGCAAAATGACACAAGTTATGAGCAAAAATTGCCATGTCAGATGCACATTAAAATTTGGCATGGTATTTTAATTTGAATTGCCATCTTTTGTGTAAAAAATTTGCCATGAATGTGAAATAACACAAAAAGTGGCCAAAGTTGCCATGGCAGGTGCAAATTAAAATTATTCATGGAATTTTTATTAAAAATTGTCATGCCATGTATAAGAAATTTGCCATGTATGTAAAATAATTTTGTTCATCTCAAAATGGAAAAATTAAATGTTCCATTGGTGGTGTCGATGGCAGAAATTGTCATGGCAAACACATATCAAATTTGCCATGTTATTTAAATAAAATTCCTAGTTTGTAGAAAATAAATTTGCAATGTGAGTAAGAAAAGTTAGTCATGTTCCATGTCAAATCGTAAATGTAAAATGTCATGGTTGTATACTTTGTTTCATGTACATTTGCCATGTGCGTCAAAACCATTTCTTCAATTCAGGCCCTCTCCCTTGAAGTTGTACTTGATGTGTACTAGTGGTTGGGACGCCACTGTGTGGTGTTGTTTGAGGTGTCTCTGTGTGCACTTAACTTGTCTCCTTACATTCAGCTGCCTTGTTTGGTCCTTAGTCTCACTCATGTACATCAATATGCGCTTATGCTATAACATTAGGATGTATTGTGCATTACAATTGATCCAAAAGTGAATACAAACTAGCGTGAGGTGCTTCAGTTTGTCTTAAGAAAGGGCTTCATGAGTCCATGGCTTGGGTCTATCAGAAGTCCATTGTAAGTAATCGCAAGAGATGGCCAACGATAGTGTGATCGGGATACTCTGTCTAGAATGATTTTGTAGCATTTCCACTAGACTTATATTCACATAAATCCGAATGAAGCTGCATCAAAAAACAAGTCCTATATACCTAAGAGATTTATTCCCACCACCTTATTTATCTTTATATGCAACATATCCACATCATCAAGTAGGTCCACCAAATAATTGATCCACACTAACTCACTTGTCTTAACATGCAACTATGCCAACTCATCATACCACGATGCATGCCCCACTAATTTAATTAGCTCAACATGCAACTAATGTTGTTGCTCGGGCCAGGTAGCCCAGTTCGGGTTGGGAGGGTTCCCCATCAAACGTTTTCGTTTGTGGGGAGGGATCCCTTCTAGTGAAAGAAGCGTTCGTTCCAAATGCCCCAGAATCTGACGTTCAAATGTTATCGGGCTCCAAAAGTTAAGTTACTCCCACTATGACCTGCCTGAGGGCTTGTGTGTTCTCTTCTGGGGCCCCATGTCAGTGGCTGCGCTTGGGTGGACGTGGTATGGGAGGACGCAGTCAACACTGACCTGAACATGAGCTCATCACGAAGTGTAGCGCTAACACAGCCAAACTTCACCTTATTTTAAAAGTTAAAATAATTGGATTATCTCTTCGGCGGTGGTTGCATAATGTCTATTTGTGTGGATTGCATATAGTTGAATTTTTTAGTGACACCAATTGTAACGTTTATCTAGAGGATGTTTGTAGTCGTCTTGTGTTGGTTGCTTCTTACGGTTGTACATGTAAATCTTTATCTAGCAGTGCAGCAAGGCGCAAGCTTTGGTTTCCTAGAAAAAAAGACAAAGGAGATGACAAATTGAAATCAACAAACCAAAAAACATCATCTATTGTCTTGTTGTGTCTTATCAGAATTTAAAGTAAAAATAGCGGCCGAGGCGAAGCTGTCTTCGAAGCCTAAACATACTATCAACCTCCCAATAGAAAATTTAGGAAATTAGAATATACATCATACAACTTTATCTGACTATAGCTCAGCTATCACATTTGAAAATAACGAGGGCAAAGGTGGACCTACGATGAACTGCAAAACAAAGCATAAATCGTTTCCAAAATCAAGATATAGCTGCCCTAGAGTTGTCAATCATCTTCGTTGGCACTTGCAGCACTTAGATCCACACTGAGATCAACCGTCTGATAAAAATGGCATATTAATTAGAATAAGCAAGTATAGATATAATATGAAGAACGAGATAAACAAATGTAATGTTACCCTACCTAGCACTAAAATGTTTCCTAAACTAGATTATACCCGCCCACTGCTGTGGGATCGGTTGCAATATATTTTGATGAGATTTTGTTTTATTAAATATATGTATTTTGATTAATAACATATGAACTAATTGTATTTGATTATTGTATAACTGAAAAATACTTATTAAATATAAGAAGCATAATATAATGAAGAACTTGTTCCATGCATGTTATGGTGTCCCAGTGATGATGTAGCATGTGAGGTGATGTAGGATGCTTGCATGTAGAGATAAATATAAGCAGTCTAGATCAACTAATAATAGACAAAAATTCCATGCATGTTGAGGTGAGTCTTTGATAATGTGGCATATTTGGCGAGGTGGCATACATGCATGTTAAGATAAATAGAAGTAGTGGGGATCAACTACTAAGGTATATATATAAGGTAAGATTCCTCTTTGTTGTGATTTGATATGTCTGATTTTGCACCACTTACGCTCATTTGGTTGTGAGGGAAATAACACGCAGGACAAACACACCAAGGGTGAAAATTGTTTTGGTCACTCAAGAACCATTTTTCTTTTCTTTTTTGGGATGGTCATTCAAGAACCCGGGGGGAGAAAACCACGTCAAAGACCCATTCCATGTCATCATTTCGCACAAAAGAGAGAAGACGACCACCAGCTGGGACAGCTTGTCCTCAACAACTGGCGAAGCGTGGGCATCTCCAACCTGATGGTGCAGTTCACCGTCGCCATGACCAAGCTCGCCGTAGTCTCCTGCGCCGGAGCTGATCCAATGAAACTTCCCTCACATCCTCCGGAATCTTACTAATCACCCCGATCCGGACATGACATCACGGAAATACAGCTGGGGAAGACACCAGAGGAGGAACTGTCCCCTGGAACGTAGGCTGATGCCGCTGGTAGCCGCCGACGGATAATCTGCTCCAGGAAGACATTGCACGTGTAGACATCTACGGTGCAAAAGAAAAGGATGGAGACAAAGCAGACTCGACTGGAATGTAAAATTGATGGGTAACGGCTCGAGAGCCAAAGATGAGGAATTTTCGACCGAGTTACCGACACATGAAAATCTTCCCCGGTAAATGATGTGGATTGGACCAATCAAAACCCCATATAGTCTGCCTCCAATTGGACCAAATGTTGCGGATTGGGTCTTCCAAATCAAATGAGCCCTTGGTAGTGGAAATCATTTAGGGCTGTTTAGGCCTACTTGAGCCCTCTCCTCAAAAGTAACAATTACTAGTTCCTATGACCTACCCTAAAAAAACTAGTTCCCACAACCGCTAAAACAAAGAACTCGGTCCTATGAAATGTAGTGCAAAAGAAACCTTAGATTTGTATAGCACAGCAAGGAATCGTGATAGAAGTTTAGAAAGAAAACACATTTTTTAATATAATACAGTGATACTATTTTTATGTAGTGCGATAAAAACATTTTTAGTACTCCCTTCAATCCAAATTAATTGGCGCACACTTAGTACAACTTTGTACTAAAGTTGTACTAAGTGCGCATCAATTAATTTGGATCGGAGTAATACAATTTCATACGCTGCTCTATTGCAGAAATTGCATTAAGGTTTCCATTTAAAAATGTACCTTTCCGGTGATCTTTGTATACAGCGAAAGAACATCCATCACGGTAGACTCAAAGTGTGTTGTGGCATCATAACTCTGAACAAAATTAAATTGAGATAGATTGAAATATTCTTGAAGATGCTTTTTTGTTTGCTAAATATTGAAAACCAGAACATTGTTAGTTCACCTATAACTTACCGTTGATATAAAACAATTGTCCGAAGAAGGGTCATTAGTAGGTTCATATCTGTCGTATGTGTCGAAAAACAACTCGTCAACTGGCCCAAGAAGATCGATTCCTGGCTTCAGTTCTGCCTCTGGATTGTCACTCTCTGCTTGTGCTGACACAAACGCTATGAATTTTCCCTTCGACGCAACATTGTGAGAATAGGAACAACAGAAAACATACCTGGTGATGATTCAAAAAAATAAAAGTTAGGTGACATGACGAATTAAGTAATAATAGATAAAAAGGGCAATAATGCATGGAATACTTGCATGTCTGATCTGCGGCCAAGTTGCTTTTGTGGTATTATGATCTGTACTGAGTGAGATTCAGCAGTATTTGGGATCGGGTGGCTCATGATAGCAATTGCACGAAAAACCTTTCCAACCTTTTTAACCTGTTATTAGAGCAGATAATTCTCATCAGTTGCAGAATTTCTTCATACGCCCCATGTTTCCTTTGTTTAACTTTACTGTAAGATATTTATGCAAAGTGATTTTGATTGGTATAAAATTTCTGTCATAAATAATTTGTACCGCTGTTGAAACAGTTTGACGGAAAGTATAGCATAATGTTAGTGACATCGGATCTCTTCGGGACAATACTCCATATCTGTTTGTTCAAATAATGAAGATGAGTGGCTTTTACCTTCTCAGGTACGTAAGACGGATCACAAACAACTTTCTTGCCTTTTGCTGTCTCCCCTTCAGATGTAACTCCACGAACTTTCCCTTCATCATCAAATTCGACCTGAAAATACATATTGTTTGACCAGTTACATATTTACGATTGAAACGACATAAGTGAACATACGACATAAATATTCATTGTGGTGCTTCAATGGTTTGCTTGAAGTATACACAAATTCACGTATAAAAAAAATCTACTTTTCCATGTAATGGTCGATTTTTACAGAAATTCATCTTAATCGGTGTTGGGCTGTATGAGTGTGTGGCCCAAAAGCCCATTCTAGTGTACATATGTATTCATATCTGTAACTAGCAATTGAAGAAAATAGAATCAAGAGAATTCCCTGCGCTCTTCGTGGTACCAGAGCACTGGTAATAATGATGGGCGGACCCTAGCTGGTGGTGGTGTGGAGCCGACGCCTGGAGGCGACGACAGCAGAGCAGTTGGCCGCTGCTGCAGCAAAGGAACGGAAGATCAGGCAGGTGCTGCGAGCTGTGAGTGCCTAGTCATGAGCGGAGCGGGCTAAGGACATGGGTATACAGATGTACACCCATTATTTGGTGAAGAAGAGCTCATAACTCTAAATTAATCCTATACTTAATTAGTTAAAACACTAAGCTTTAAAAAACGTACACCCAAATCAAAATTTCTGCCTCCGCCAATGGAGCTAGTGGCATCAATAGAAGGAGGACGTCCGGCTGCTTGTTGATGTGCTGCCTGTTTGGGTGGATAGGTGTTGAGCTGCTTGCTGTATACTAGAAGAAAAAGGGTGCTTGCTGCTTGTTGTGCATGGAATCAGAGGAAAGGTGTCCGGGAAAGAAACACAGCATGTGATTGCACCAAGAAGCAGAGAAGAAAAGTACCGCTCTACTGAACAATGGGGGACATGACGTGGTCCTTCTTGGCCTCCTCTGGAATCTCACGGGTGCAGATCCACACTTGGAAGAGGGAGGAGGTCGTCTCGGGATCAACAGTGGAGGAGCTAACATTAACCTTGATCTTGTTGTGGGGAAGGCCACTATGAACACCGACGGGGAGGTCTTGCAAGGTGTTTGTAATGTAGTCGCAGAGCTCGGCCCTGATGACGTCGGCAGTGACCTCCACCGACGGGGGTGGGTCCTACTAGTCTGGCACCACCGAGATAGCAGTCAGGTGCAGATGGGGGTGGGGGGTGGGGGGTGGGGGGTATCACCTCCGACACAATGGAGAAGTAATAAAACCCGCCATCCACCCAATAGCCCAGAAACTCCTGGACCGTGGAGCACCGCGGGAGCGCCGTGCACTCACAACAGAAGTGGCCCGCAATGTCGCGGTTCAAGCTCAACTGTGCCTCCCAAGCAAGAGGGGCGGACGGAGCCACCTGCTCCGTGCCACTTGCCGCAAGGGAGCTCACCGGTGACGGGGGTGTAGGCAGGACAACTTGTGGGCTTCCCCCAAACCACTGCCCGACTTCTTCTTGGATGGCGCAGATGGGCCGGCATGCGGCGGAGTACTAGGAGACCGCGGGTTACCCCTGTTGCCAGTCAAGGGCATCGCTATAGGAAGCATGTTGGTCAATGGAACCCCCACGAAGCTCTCGAGGCGAACGCGCCACACGGCCTGAGTGGAACTCATCCTGGCTGGTCCAGTCTTCGGGATCAAAAGGGGCCTCATGGCGCCGGTCATAGGGAGCCACCGCTTTGTCTGAGTGCTTGAAATTGCTACCCTCCCGAGCAAGGGAGCCCTGCTCATGACCAGAGACACACGCTCACGTTGGGTGAGCTCAGCTTCCCAATGAAGCATGGCTGGGGGTCCGGGGAGAGGGGGCAAGGTCCGACCACGCAGGCTGGTTATAGGTAGGACGGGGAGGAGCGAGGTCGATGGAGCATGGCGCAATGGCAAGGTCTGAGGAGAGGGAGGCAAGGTCTGGCCATGCAGGCTGGTTATAGGTAGGACGAGGAGGATCAAGGTCGATGGAGCGCTCAGACAAAGGGCCTAGGGAGGGCTGGATCGACGAACTACACGTGCCAACAGCCGGAAGGAGGAAACGTCCTGGCTGCGCTAGTCCCATATGGGCCGACCTGCTACGCATGCCACGGTTGGCCCACGATGGCCAAGAGTAGCCCCGATGTGCCGCTGTCCCTCACAGACCTCTGCAATGGGAGCGGGGGCACCACACACAAGTGTACTAGCCTGGCGGAGTGGCGGGGCGTGCACTGTCCGGCGGGCAAAGGAGCCCTGAGCGACGCATGAAGTAGACAGGGCCCGTCGGCACCACCGCTGATGTGCGCACCCCACGGGAGGGGTGGAAGCGGAGATGTGACCATTTGGCTAGAGAGGATCCCAAGCATGACGACTCGAGGTAAGGACCAGGTTATGGCGATTGGCTTGAGTGTTGGCCATGACTTGTGCCTAGGAACCGTCTTGACCATTGCAAGGAAGTCGTCGAGCGTCATGGGAGTGAGGGACGTAGTGATCTGCATGTCTGACCTAGATGTGTCCTCGTCCTTAGCTACGTCCTCCCACCAGAAAAGGGGTGTGTCCTGGGTGCCAGGACGATGGCGTGGACGCATGGGCGGATGGGGAAAATAGCCTGACTATCGAGGTGACACCTGAGGTGGCCATGGAGCCGGAGCCCCTATCGCATCCACACCGCCCTCTCCCGAAGTTCAAAATTATCCCCTCATCGAGGTGTACATTGCCCTGTTCCCCCAATCCAAGAGGGGAGGACGGAGCTACCTACTCAGTGGCACCTACTACAGGGGAGTTCAACGATGGCAGGGTGTAGGCAGGAGACCTTGCTGGCTGCCAATCTCGGAATCAGTGGGTTAGATGGTTGCTATCGGCGAGTGGTCTATGCCGAGGGAGGATCCAATGCGTATTCGGGGGCCATGCCCGGACCTCTCCAAGCTCGACGGCTTCGTTTTGTATGTTCTACTTTGGCACTGAGGGGAGGTAGATCTCCCTCGACCTGGATGCTGGAACCATCAAGATCGATGATGTGAGTACAGGGCACCAGGTTTTTCTAACAAAGGGTTTAACTACCTAAGGATTGTAATCAAGCTTTTGTCAAGATGGG